TTAATATGATTGTTACAAAATCTATACTACTATAAAAAGTACGAATAACCTCTAAAATTTTTGAAATTTTTATTGACTAAAATACCCCTTTTTTGAAATATGATCCCTTTGTTGTGAGGGTAGAAAATATAATTTGAATACTATTATTCAATGCATTCAATTCATTCTCATTAAATCTCACATTTAAGGTACTAACTCTCATTCACCTCATTGAATCATATATTTAAAGCATAAATTTATTCTCATCACTAAATTATACTAATTAAATCTATAATAAGTTAATAATTCTAATAGCATAAAAACTTACACTTTTAAAATCTACATGGAAAAATAGTATTTTCATCTAGGTGGTGGTAAGAAATTAAACCATTTTGGGTTAAATGGGCCAATTCATGTTACCACAATTAAACAATAAAATTTGAAAAATAGATAAAATGCAAAAAAAAAATATAGAAATTAAAGAAAAAATTGGAAATATTTTTAGCATCGTATATTTGACATATTAAACAATAATAAGAGTGTGGAACTTTCTTTTTTACTAAACTACCCCTATATTTGAATTTAGTCCCTCTTTAATTGTGAGGGGTCAATTGGGTGAATCCATGATGTCATAGTTAAATAATAAAAATATTTACAATAGAAACAAATTCACAAAATAAAAAATATAGAAAAAATGAGCAATTTCTTTGATATTTTATATTAATCATATTAATAGTCGTAAAGAAGATTTATTTTTATTGATAATGGAAATGAAATATAAATTTTAAAACCAACCAAAAAATGAAACTGATTTCCTATTTGGTCAGGGTCAACAGTTCAACTTTTTGGTCAAATGTGTCAATATTTAATGTCATAATTAAATAAAAAAGTAACAAAAAGATAAAATGAAAAAAAATGAAAAAACACATAAAATTTGCAATAAAAACATTTGGGCACATCTCTAATATTGTATATTCATCATATTAAACAAAAACAAGTGTGATAAATAAGAATTAATTTTGTATATATGGAAATATAAAAATGGTCAAAAATGTAATTTGAATTTAGTCTCTTTTTAATTGTAAGGGCAAAAAATGTAATTTGAACTATTATTTTTCACCTCATTCAAATCCCTCACATTAAGTCATATATTTGAGGTGCTAACGCCCATTCTCTCTTATTGAGTCCTATATTTAAGTTATTTTTTTACTAATAAATGTTACTAATTAGATATATATCCAATACTTTTAAGAATATAAAACCCTAATCCAAGTGATGACTAAACAATTCAACCATTCAAATCAAATTGGTCAACCCATGAAGTCATAGTTGGATATTAAAAATTTTAAATATAAATAAATGTAGAAAATTACAAAAATGTAGAAAAAATTAGACACATTTATGATATTTTTATTAATCAAATTAAAATGTAAGAGCAATAAACAATAATTATTTTATTGATGATGAAAATGAAATACATAATCTAAAACTGGCTAAAAATGAAATTATTTTCCTGTTGGACGGAGATCAATAGTTCAACTTTTGGGTCAAATGTGTTAGCCTTTAATGTCATAATTAAATAATAAAAAATAATAAAACATAAAAACACAAAAAAGAAAAAAATAGATAACTTTTACAAAAAAAGAATATCTGGGCACATGTGTAATATCATATATCTATCATATTAAACAAAGTTTGTGTGCCCACATAGAAATAACAAAATTACAGAAAAAATTGAACACATCTATAATTCTATATTTATATTACTACTAAAAACTTGAATAATGAATAAGATTGTAAAACTTTCTTTTAACTAAAATTACACAATTTTTTGAATTTAATCTATATTTAATTGTGAGGTTTAAAATGTAATTTCAATTATTACTTTACACATCATTCAATTTCCTCTATTTAAATCTTATATTTTTTCTATAAATGAACAAAAAAGATACACTGTGAAGATAAAACATTACAGAAAAAGAACCAACGAAGTGATACTTCAAACTTTGCAACCCAATATGAGGTGTTTACATAATCGGATTTGGATTTTGCAATCTGCATTCAATTAATAATAAAAAACAAAAAAAAATATAAAACAAAAAAACATGACTTTTATAAAAAAAAAATTGGATACATTATTACTATCATTATGATCATCTAGAATTGCCACGTGTAAAGCACGTGCATAATTACTAGTATTAGATAAGTGCCTAAATGTTCTCTACAAAATTGTGTATTATTACATAATATTTTTTATGTTTTTTTTTATCTGTCATTTTTAATTTAATCATGACATCAAGGGTTAGCACATTTGGCTTAAAAGGTTGAATTGTTGACCTGGCATCATGAAAACATTTTTTATTTTTTGATTGGTTTTAAATTTATATTTCATTCCAACATCAATAAGAATAATTATTATTCGTTACACTTATTTTTCTTTAGTATGATTTAATATAACTAATAGAGATGTGCCCAATTTTCTATATTTTTTTTATTTCTATTTTAAAAAATTTATTGACCTATTTGACTTGGATAGTTGAATTGTTATGTAAGAACAATTCTGTTTGTTGGGTCAATTTTAAAAAGTATGTATTATATATATTGTAAGTATTGAATATAGATATAATTGATAGAATTTATTGGTGAAATGAATAACTTAAATATAGGATTGAATGAGAGAATTAGAGTTAATGCCCTAAATATAAGATTTAATTATAGGGAATTGAATGAATAGAAATGTAATAGTTCAAATTACATTTCATGCCCTCACATTTAAAGAGACACCAAATTCAAAAATAGGGGTATTTTAGCCAATAACAAGATTCAATAAATGTTAATGAGAATTAATACCTTAAATATGACTTAATGAGAGGGATTTAATGAGGAGAAAATTGGTTGTTCAAATAACATTTCTATCCTTACAATTAGGGAATGATCAAACTCAAAAATTAATATATTTTAGTCAAACAAAAGTTTCACACTTAATACAGATCGGGATGTCATCCTCATACCATCTTCACAACACTTGCAACTGTTTAATTATGATATCTTCATACTTGTATATTTTTATTTATGGGGAGATGTTCCAAATACATGGCTGCAAGTGTTGTGAAACAAATTTTGCGATGACAAAATTCTGTCTCCATTAACACAGCCAAAGCCAATTGGGATTTCCTCACAACACGTTACAACAGTGAATTGGGAACATCTCATAAATAAGAATATATAAGTAGAGAGATGTTCTAATGTGTGGCTAACACTTGGAGTGCTAAGAATTTGGTACGTGGAGCATTATGTGAGGAGCAGTTCCCAATTCAACATAGTCATCACTCATCAAATAGAAAATACATAGGTTGTTGGGGGCAACGTTGTTAGGAAGGAAATGCTTCAATTACCATGGGGTAAAAAAGTAATTGCATTAAATATTCTTTACGATAAAAGACTTAAACATACCCTAAGTTTTCATAATATGTTTTTCAAATAGACTTTACGGTATAAGAAGACTTTTATAACCTTAATTATACTTAAATTTTCAAAATGAACAAAAAAACACAAAAAATATTTATTACCTCCCAAACATTACCATTTGAAGATGAGCTCACCTACCTTATCTCCCCCATTGTCTCCCTTCACCTCCTCCTCCTCCATCTTTACTTTTTTTTCTAGTGTTTTCAACTTGTCATTGACCTGGCTAGTTAAACTATTTGAACCATCACCGGCCCTGATTCTGGGTCCAATTCTATTAAAACCTATACTTCAATAAAAGCTGTTGACTTGGTAAAAAACCATTAGACCTGAGCGGCTTAACTATTAACCCATTCAACCTAGTCATCGGGTTGCAGGTTGCACATTTAACATATGTGCAAACTTTTAGAGGCCATAACCTTGCACTCAAATGTTCGATTAGGATGATATTTTTTATTTGGGTAACTTTTCGAGATCTTCAAGTCCTAAGGAGCTGTTGGGGCTTTGCTCCACTATTTTCGTAAAAGAATCCCTTTTTTGGCCTCAAATCATAATTTTTAATATTTTTTTAAATAAAAAATAAAAATTGAATTGCAAACATAAATTAAATAGAAAATAATATATATATTATATGTAAAACATAATTATACACTATTTATTGATAGAATATGCATTTACACACATACACACACACATATAGTATTGACATTGAACAATTTGACCCATTTGACCCAAAGGTCGAACTAATGACCCATGACCCGACAAAATCAGGTCACCCTCCGGGCTGGTTTTCAAAACTTAGCTTATTTCTTTCCCTTTTATTCTATCTCCTTCCTACACTCCTTCTGTCTTCATAGCTTAACATGATAGAGGTGGCAACAAAAACGAAGACAACTCATTACCACGCCTCCTCTTTTCTCTCACGTGTCTTTCTTTCTCTCCTATTTCTCTCCCCCTCTCTTCTTCCCCTTTTCTCTTTTGACTGTTCTTTTAATTTACAACCTGCCACGATCACTAAGGCTCAGTTTGGAAGGAGTACAAATGCAAATATGTAGAGTACAAAACCTTATATTTTATATTATTTTGTATGCATTTTCCTGTACAAAGAATACATATTTGTATTTGTATTTATACACTATACATATTTGTATTTGTACTCCTTCCAAATTGAGCCTAAATTGCATTTCTACTGTTACCCTCAACCACCAGTTTCTTGCTTCTCTTTAATTTGTCTGTTATTTTAAAAATGACAATTAGGTTGTGTTTGGTTTAAAGGAAAAGATAGGAAAAGTATTTCTCTTGCCAAACACAACCTTACGAAATTGAAGCGGTTAACGTGTTATTCCAAGAACATTCTCTATTTGGCCCCAACAGCCAAAGTTTTGGCGATCAAGGCATCACGTGCAGTTAATCCGGGCTCGAATCCAGCTGAGGAGAAGTCGTATCTGGTCCAATACGCGTTCCCAAAAATCATCACAGACGTACATCGGGAACATCTGGCCATGAAGGATGAACGACAGAGGAGACGCTTTTATAGTGCGTACAACTTCCGGTCTGCCTAAACTCGCTCTTTCTTTTTTCCCATCAGTTTCTCCTCTGCTCCGTCGTTACTCACTGTTGGCGGAACAAGCCATTCCAGATTCTTGCAGGTCTTACAGAAATTCAGAGGTGGTGCTCCGTGTTCTTTACTGATTTCATTGACGTTTGGAATCGGTCTAGACGATCGGCTCGTCTTCAGCTTCAGCTTAACACACCTTTGATTTCAGTTTGTAGGACTAGAAATGGCCATGTTTACCGTCTCGCGTCGACTCCCATGTGCATCGACGACGTTGCGATCAGTGTGGGCTTTGCGTGCCGCTTGCCTGAGGTCCATCTCAACATCATTCAGGGAGGAGAGAGATACTTTTGGACCGATCCTTGTTCCCTCTGACAAGTTCGTATTCAGTATTCGTCTGTTTCTGTTTTTTCTGATTCTTGGTTGTTGTACAAAAACAAAACAATCACATTTCCAACGGCATCAACTTGTATTGGTCTTGTATGCTTTCCTTGACTCCAGTCGATTTTGCAATTCTCTACTCTACATCTAGGTTGTGGGGGGCTCAGACTCAGAGGTCGCTGCAGAACTTTGATATCGGTGGCGACCGTGAACAAATGCCGGAACCAATCATTCGTGCCTTTGGCATTCTTAAGAAATGTGCAGCCAAGGTTTGTTCTAATCTTATCCATTCTCCATTTCTTTTGGACTTGCAGATTGATGGTTTGGTATGAACTTTTGCATTTTATTTTTTGAGTCCATTATGAGTTAGATGTGGAATAATATGAAATGGTGTTCTAGTGGTTTTCATTCACGATTTTTCGCTGTTTTCACTTGGAGTTGTTACTACGTGTAATTTTTGATTGTTTCATGCCATTGAGTTTCCGTTATTTTTTACCTAGTTTCAATGCATAGATTGTAACTTTTAATTTTCTTAAGGCAGCATTACCGAGCCTCTGGTTTTCCTAGGTGGAAGCCAGCTGCTGATGTATTTTACTGATAATGTACACTTCATTGTTTCAGTGCATTCTGAAACTAATCTTTCAACGGATCAATAGTTTCGCCTGGAGTTATATGACCACATAGTCTACATAGGAAATGATGATTCAGTATGTTCATTCATAGATGCATGTAAAATAACGATCTACATTGCTTTTACTTTCTTGCCACATCCAAATTTTTTTATATGCATGGATAATTGGGTTGTATTCTGTATAATATATGTAAAATTGAATAATTAAGTATTTTGAGTTGATATTTATAAACTAGAGCTGGTCATATTAATTCTTTCCTTGTGTTATATGTAACTTAAATAATGGTGTTCTTTAGTGTTGGATATGGATACAAGGTATCTCACTAAGGGGATGTTCGAGAACATGGTTGGTTTTGCCTTTGATAATAAATAACAGCTGCCACATCAGTAAAATCAATATAATTTTGATGATGTGGCAGCTTTTTTGTTTTCAAAAACAAAATCAACCATGATGTTGAACACTCCCTAAATCCGAATATAAGTGTCAGCATGTTTCTGACATGTAGGACACACATGATGTCTAAAGCACCCAAGTTTTAGCAAATGGTGTGTAGTAAAAGGTTTTATAAAACTTAGTCTTTATCTGAATTAGGGTAGAGGTATAATTGAACGAGAGAGAGAGGGGAGGATGCTATAGCACAAAATTTGGACCCCTAGAATTAGGGTTGTCAATGGCTTGGTCAGACCAGATGGACTCGAACCTCCCAATTATGATGTTCAAATGTGTTGATTTAATCATTTAACAAATAAGCAGGGTTTTTTGGTCAAAATATAGATTAAAAGTGCAGTTGTCAATTAAAATAGGGTCTTGTCAGTCAGACCCAATAGTCCTGATTACAGACCCTATAGGGTCTTCTTTGGAACTGGTTTTGCACATTTTGGGACCGGGTCTACCCTGATTGAGACCAGACCCAACCCACCGACAGCACTACCTATAATTCTTTTTGCACTGAAGCACATGAAGCTTCAAAAGTAGAAGGCTGTCATGTAAAGTTGGGTGTTGAGGTCTATTGTCAAAGATTATGGTTTCACTTCTCTCACAATCTTCGTGTTATTGGATTAGTTGATTGGCCTTTTATACTACAACTCTGGTCTTGTTTGTGTGTTAAACCTGTTTCAGTTATTATTGTCACAGTCATGATATTATTTTACTGATCTTCTGATCATAGAAAAGTGTTGTTTTACTGATGCCATCCTTTTTGTGGATGATATAAGCAAGTACTTTCTCATGCAGGTGAACATGGAATATGGCCTTGATCCATCAATTGGGAAGGCAATAATGCAGGCTGCTCAAGAAGTTTCTGAAGGAAAACTCAATGATCATTTCCCACTTGTGATATGGCAGACAGGAAGTGGCACTCAAAGCAACATGAATGCTAATGAGGTTAATATTCATTTTTATCCTCATTGCTTGGAGTTCTGCTAGATTTTTCTATAATCTTTAGTACAATATGAATACTTTATCAGGCTGCTAATAACAATGTATGATGTTTGGGTTTTGGTGATTTATCATGTTCTATAGTTAGATTAAAGTTGAGAGCAGAGACATATGTGAGATAAAGAACTGTAACATGTATTAGTTATGTTTATCTCTAAGGGTGGGTCCAACCTGAACTTTTGCATGGACTATACTTGAATTTTTTGGGTTTTGGGATGGGTGTGGACCTGAAATGTTTAACCCTAGTGCTAGGTTGGGTCTGGTTGAGACCTTGGGTTACCTTAGTTCAACTCCAACCTAACCCTTGCTTGCCTATCCATTTGTACTAACTATATAGTATGCAGTACCATAATAATGTAAATATGTTTCCACACTCATACACATGCATACATTATGTGAATACAACATTTGAGCTATGGGATAGGGGGACTATGGTACCTGATACCTCATTATAGTCAACAGGTATTTGATCATTTGGTTTTCTCCTTTGATTAATGTGGCATGAGCTTCATGTAGTGGTGAGTTGTTGTAAGTCCCATGTTCAAATGTTTGGTTAAATTGAGATAAATGCCAGGTGTGAAGTGTGATACAGGAATTAAGCGGGTAGAAATGTATTAATTATGTTGGTCATGTGAAAGAAGGCAATGGAAGTTAATCTTTCTCTCATAATAAAAATCATTTTTTAAATGCATTGAAACAGAACAATCAAATCCAACCAATAAAAAAAAGAAAAATAGATTAATTAATGCACTTGATTCTTATACTGGATCAGTGCCATGAAAGATGGGGTAAATAGTGAGGCCGTTTAATAAGCTATCGAATTTTCAGCATTTGGAAGTAGAGGGAGATTCAAAGATGATCATTTCTTGGGCCAGGAGTAAGCAGCTTGTGCCATGGATCTATAAGCATGAGTTTAGGGAAATAGAAAACATTAAACAGGAGCTGGATATATCTTTCAAGTGGATTAGAGAAAAAAGGACAGCAAGTGGGATGGCAAGATACTTTAGCAAAACAAGGGGTATATAGACAACAACTGTTGTAGGCACTATTATAATCTTGTAACTTTGTCGGGTTTGATTGTTATTTGGGTGGATTTACCCTTTCATTGTATTAACCATTTTCATAATTTAATATAATTCTGAATTTCTTGCTGATAAAAAAATAGTGAGGCCGTTTTATACTGCTGAAGGTGCGGAAAGCAGAAAGCCAGAATGATTCCAAACTTAAAGGAGCTTAAATCCAATGGTATTGTTGGTGAGTAATAAAATATTTAGGGGGTAAAATAATTACCCCTATGCCTGTGCTTTATCATTCAGCAATTAAGTAGCTCTCAGGTTGGTCATATATATATATATTTAGAGAGAGAAAAGATAAGGTAAATTTTATTGATATAAAATACTAGTACAAAGGGACCCCCCCCTCCCCCAAGGAAAACACCTTAGTAGGGGAAACAGCCCTAGCAGAACAAGATTACAGATGCCATAGGCTCCTAGAATTCAGCCTAGCCCCCAACTGAGAAGCCTGAATTCCCTTTGAAGCTGAGATCCAAGAAATCAACTTTCCAAAAGAAACGGATATCAGGTCCTCCAGATCCTTATAGATATTCTGGAATAGTCTTTTGTTCCTTTCTGCCCAAATGGTGCTGATGACTGCAGCCGGAGTGGACATCCACACAGCTGAGGCTGGCATAGTCCAAGCAAGACCCACCGAACAGAGAAAATGATTCCAAATTCTAGCAGAGATCGAGCAGTGCAGAAAAAGATGACTGTTGTCTTCCACTTCTTGACCACACAACACACAGCTCTGTTCCTGAAGCTGGACCCCTCTCTTAAATAGGTGGGCTTTAGTTAAGCACCTGTCTAGAGCTGCGGCCCACACCAGAGCATTGGTTTTTGAGGGAGAGGTTGGATTCCAGATTGTGGAAGCAGGCATGTCTTCTGAAAAACTTGCCGTCAGGCGAGTGGCAAATGACTTGGCTGAGAAGAGACCATCTGTGCTCCAAGTCCAGGACCAACTGTCTTCTTTGAGCAGATTCAGGGGTTGAAGGGAGAGCAGCTCAGGTTGGTCATATGTTGAAATGTACATTTTAACATCGGAATCTTTTTTGGCATTCTATGTTCAGCTCCTTTCTCTGCAGTTAGCAAACATTACCATATGAATGGGTTTAGCAGATAGAAGTTTATCATATTTTAATGAAATTACATTTTAGATGTGGTGGCAAAATTGGAATCATAAATTCTCCAAATTTCTGGGTTCCATTTTTTGGGTCCATTTTTCAACATTGCTAAATTTGGAAAACGAAGGATTTTTTTTTGAAAGGTAAGTAAGATGATTGTATTGTATAATTTGTATTAATAAAAGGGAAAAACCCCAATAATCACAAAAAGCCCCCTTTGAGAGAAAGGGAGCTGATAGTATGAGTTATTTGCATCATATACATAATAAAGCTCTCCATTAATAGGCAAGAGTATGCCCCCACTGATCACAGACTTGGTGAAAGGATAAACTGCAAACCTCTGTTTTGATAGATGCCCACTTGAAGAGAAGCCTCTCAGCTTTCACAATCACTGCCTTACCTAAGAAGAAGAACCCCTGAATATATGATTGTTCCCTTCACACTATAGAACCCAACAAGGTACTAGAGAGGAAGTAAGCCACAGAAACCTACCTCTTTTACTAAACTCAGCTGAGGGCCATGCAGAGAAAAGGCTGCCAATGTCAGTAGGGGAAGCCCAAGCTTTGTCGAAGGCCCCCCTTTTTTTCTAGGAAACAGTAATTTTTATTGATAATTATAATTAGATTACAACTGTCACCATCCAAAGGCTGGATGGAACACCCTTAGGCAAAGTCATTCTTGCAAACAAGCGCAAAACAATTCCTGCCCGTTGACTCCTTTCTTAGCTAGAACTTCAGCTTTTCCATTTGCTGATCTTCTTGCCCACCTAAACTGCACACCAGGCTCAAGATTTCTCATAGCTATTGTCTGAAGGACAACGTGCCCAAACTTCCTGCTTGCATCCAATCTATTTCCAGCTTGGGATCTCCTTCGTCTTTTAACTGATGCATTTCCCATTGCTTTGCCAGTCTGAGACCTTGGAGAAAGCAAAAACTTCTGCCCTTAAGGAGTCTCTCACCCCTTTTGGGTCTGAGTAAAGGGCCAGCACTCTTCCCTCCTCATTTCTGAAAACACCCTGAATTCTTGAGGGGCCTTGGTTACCTAGAAAGCTTCCACCAAAGTTCAATTTCACTCTAAAGCAAGGTGGTGGGGACAAACTTTCCACAACTGTAGGATAAGAGGATGAGGAACCAACTATAGCACTCCACCCTCTAAAGAAGTCAGTAACAGAGAAGTCCTTGAAAAGTTCTGAAGCTTTCAGCCAATGAATAACCATGATGGTAATGCCCTCAACAAGTGCTTCATTAGATCTTTCTTTCCCTTGAAAAGTTGAAATCAAGGTTCGAAATTTTGATACGTATTGACCGATACGTATTGTATTGGGGGCTTCCCGATACACCCCTACAAGGGGTGTTTTGGGGTTTGTTGAGTAGGAGAAGAAGGAGAAGAAGAAAGGAAAGAAGGAAGAAGAAGAAGAGGAGGCTACTGAGTTAAGGCCTCAAAAGATAGTGCTTTAGTCGAGTGAAGCATTGTATTTATACTATATTGGCCGTACAACACAAGAGGTCTACAAAAATTACCCCTGTGGGCACTAAACCTGTGTACAATACATATAATACACCTGTCAACACTCCCCCTCAAGTTGGGGCATAGATATCAATCATGCCCAACATGTCACAGAGACCTTGGTGTTTGGAATGGTTTAGCCCTTTTGTAAAGATGTTTGCTAGTTGGTCTTCAGAGCTGATGTATGGAGTGCATACTTCRCCTGTGATGATTTTCTYTYTGATAAARTGYTTGTCMACTTCAATGTGCTTTGTTCTATCATGTAGTACCGGGTTGGCAGCGATACTTATAGCTGCCTTGTTGTCA